CCTTTTTTTTCTATGCAAACCAAACACGAGAAAAATAAATACATTGGTTTCCCACCATTTTTTATGTGTGAACCAAAACAAAACAATCTATTTCTTGGAAAAGTTTGGAAAACTCAAAACTTGTGTTTCTTTACATGGAATTGTATTTCTCTATATCAAGGAAACGAACCAAACAGCACCTTAAAGTCAATTAAATACTACACATAGACTCAATTTGGCAAATCCAATGCTATACATAAACTCAGTTTAGCAAATCAGAAATAAATGAAATAGTTTACTTTAAAATTGGTTCAAAACTAAACATGTGAATGAATAAAGTGCTAGTTTTAAGGCTCAAATTTGGCCTAGCAAAACTAGCTCAAAAGCATAATTTTTAGTTTTTTATGTCAAAACCGCGTTTACTTTTACCTAAATTGATACTTACCATCTTTAAAGTTTTTTTTATGTAAACCATATTTACTTGCTAACATGTTTGCAATGTCATACCTAATTAAGCGAAATGACCATTTTACGTACTCTCACCATTTTCTTATTTTTTTTCATCTTCTTCCTCACAAACTCTAACCCTAACCCTAACCCTAGCCTCCTCATCCTCCTCTTCTCCCCTGTCTTCCCTCTCCCTCTCCCCCAACTCCCCTTCCCCCCTCTCTCTCTCTCTCGTCCTTCCTCATCCTTCCCAGCCTCTCACTCTCTCATTCCTACCCAAGTGGGAGCTAGCATTAGGGTTAGGGTTTGGGGGAAGTGGCAGTCACGGGTTAGGGTTAGGGTTTTGGTTTTGAGGGAGGTGACGACCATGGGTTAGGATTAGAGTTATAGTTTTTAGAAGATGAGGATGGAGGAGGCTACGGTTAGGGTTAGGGGGTGGAAAGAATAAGTTAGGCGGTAAAATGTGAATATTTGATTTTCGTAAAGAAAAGTAAAAAAGTGTGTAACATGTCAAACATGTTAGCAAGTAAAAGTGATTTAAATAAAAAAAATTGAATGTGATAAGTATTAACTTAGGATAAAAGTAAAAGTAATTTTGATGTGAAAACCCTAATCTTTAACCAAAATTGTCTCAATTTAGTCTGGTTTAATAAGTTCGTCAAATCGTAGTTTTTACGAAAAAAATAATAAACCACATAAAATAAAAATGTAAGCTTTTCTAACTAATAAATTGAAGGGAAAGGGTCACGTCATGTCGTTGGAGGTGATACCTTATCTCTTCCATCTTCCTTCGAGTTTGGGCTTTGGGCTTGTTTTGCCTACGACACCGCATACGTTAATTGACGTTGTCTCCTTCACCTTCTAATTAATAATTTAATCATGATGGTGACTTTGATTAAGCTTTAATTTAATCACCCATCTTGGGTTTTGTTTAGGTTTTGGACTGTAGTAATGCTATTGCTTTGATCTTACAACGCCCAATTTGGATTGATTGACATAGGATTGATTAATCATGGCATCGACATGATTAGTTTTGGATGCACGTGCTACATTATTGAGATGGTTAATAGTACATTAGCACAATGCTACTATTTGAGAGAGGTGATTAAAAATTAAAATGTATGTATACACACACATTAATTTTCGGGACTGAGAATAAAGTGATAAATGCACAAGCAAAGAATCTCGAAATTTACGAAGAAGTTCTCCAAATCCACGAAGAAATAACATTAGAGTTCACCAAGATATATGAAACTAAGAAATTTCATTGGTCAAAAGTATTACCATTTGCATTTACAAATCATCCATTTATATAACATATTCCTAATAGTATAAAATTTACTAAAAAAAATCAAAAACTATCTAAAAAGACTCTATACATTTAGAAAACATATCAGTTAAATATGAACCAAAACTGAATTACTTTTCGCTCCGTTATAGAAATTTACTTTATGACTAAAAATTGAAAAAAAATTCTAAAAAATATATTATTGTGAAAGAAATTTCGCTAACATGATGTTGCAAAATGAAAAAGTATATAGTAAATCTGATATACGACCCTTAATTTGTTGTCAAGTTAATGACTCATCCCAAGCCCCAAACAGGCTTCGGGCATTCTAGCCGCTCCATGAGCTCATCTGACACGAGTCTTACATCATAAAGGATTTGATGTTAGATGTTATCTAACATTAGGTTGAGAGATTGAAAAGAGTTAATCCCTTCTTATTTTGTCAAAAACAAAAATCTCTATTGTTGATGTCAGTTATCTAACAGGGGATTTAAGAGCGGATTATGTGTGGTGTTAGGGTTCCTCAAGGTTCTTCAAACATCTAATTCTTAAGCAAGCACATGAAGAACTCGTAAGAGGTCGAAGACTTGGAGTTGGGATCTCCGGTGATTCCTCTAACAATCAAGTCTGTCCAGAGCTTGAGTCGAGAAGAAGGAGATAAGTGTTTAGAAGTTTTTCTAGGCAGAATTTTCTTCCTCTAAGCAGCAGAGAGCACCTTCCTTTTATAGTAGATCCAAAGGGGCAGATGGATAATTCCAGGTGAGTCTAAGTAGGTGGCTTAGTCGACATCTGCTTTACAGTTGTCGGCTACAAACGGGATGAGTCATCTCTGTGTTTAATGTGAGAGTGACTGTGTGCATAATGCTGACGACGTCTGATGAGTCATAAAGACTTTTGATGCTGGAGCAATAATGATTCTGATCATGCATTTAATGTGATGACAATTGAATG